GGGGGAAGGTAGGGGGGCAGAGCAGCATTCTCGGACCGCGGGGACTATGCCGCCGGACACTGTAGCCAATCAGCGGCCTCGGCCTTTCTGCCCTCGAGGGGGGCGGACCCGGGTAAAACCTCGCCGTGGTGGTGGGAGAGGTGCAGAATTTAGGGGTCAAGTAGTTCGTCCTCCATCCCAAACCATTGCTCCCTGAGCCCACATAGCAAATGGGGGCCCAGAACTGGAGGAGGGAGTGGATTGCAAACCACCCATTTAATCGGCTTCGTTTGCAACCCATAAGGGCAGGGCTTGAGGTTGGAATGCCGATTCCTGCATCCACGGTCCCAGGTCTGAGGCATATCACACTTGACTAGCCAGATAGGAGGATTTTTAGGAGTTTGTAAATTATGAAAACAGCTGAGTCTGGGACTGCCAGTGCTTTTCAGTAAATCTGTAGTCTATAGAGAGGGGGTGGGGCGTGAAAGGCCAAAATGATGGGCTACTATTCAGTCATTCATTTATTAAAGGAATACTAAGTATTTTCCTTGTGTCAAACATTGCTAAGTTCTGGGGATGCGAGAACTGATTTTATAGACGTGATTCATGCCCTCAGTACATGTAGAAGCCAGCTTGCATGGTAGCCTATGTCTTATCTCCCTTACTAATTCAAATGCTGACTGACCCTCTGTTCCCAGGTCCAGCCTGCGGTGTCCACAATGCCCCAGGCTTCTGAGCACCGCTTGGGCCGAACTCGAGAGCCACCTGTCAATGTACAGCCCCGAGTGGGAGCCAAGATACCATTTCCTCCCCGGGCCCGCAGCAAGGAGCGCCGAAACCCAGTTCCTGGGCCAAACTCCGTGTTACGACCTTTGCCTCCCAGGCCAGGTCCCCCGGATGAAAGGCTCAAGAAAGTGGAGCTGGGTCGGGGTCGGACCTCAGGCTCTCGTCCTAGAGGCCCCCTTCGAGCAGATCATGGGGTCCCCTTGCCTGGCTCACCACCCCCAACTGTGGCTCTGCCTCTCCCATCCCGGACCAACTTAGCCCGTTCCAAGTCTGTGAGCAGCGGGGACTTGCGTCCAATGGGGATTGCCTTGGGAGGGCACCGTGGCACTGGCGAGCTAGGGGCCGCACTGAGCCGCTTGGCACTCCGACCTGAGCCACCCACTTTGAGACGCAGCACTTCTCTCCGGCGTCTTGGGGGCTTCCCTGGCCCCCCTACCCTGCTCAGCATACGGACCGAGCCCCCTGCTTCCCATGGCTCCTACCACGTGTTACCTGCCCGGCCCTCTGAGCCATTCTACTCTGATGACAAGATGGTGAGGACTTTCCGGCACGTGTTGGTCTCCCATGCTCATGTTCCTCTTGCCGCCATATGTATGGCTTTCTTGTTCCCTGCTCCGAGTCCCTTTGTCAACCCCTCATTGCACCAGTGGACTCTTCTCTCCGAGGCCTTCTAGATATTATCTTGGGTTGTATGTGATTCTCCAATTTGGTGTGCCACATTTCTGGTCCCTAGGGAATTAACCTAACTATTTAGAATTCTTCTTTGGGTCCTTAGGCCCGCCCTTTTAAGGCAACTTCTCTCCTAGGACTGGGCCTAGACCTAATTAATCCCTGGGCTGAGGAGGGGCGGAGCTAGAGCACCTGCTGATATGGTTACACATTTCCTCAGCTAAGTGAGCTAAGCTGCTTGCAGTTGGAGCCAGCAGGAGAGGGTGCAAGAAGGGGCCACGGGGGCAGGAGGGGGATTTGGGGGCAGTAAAGTGGGGGTGGGGAGCAGCTGGGCAACCATGCCAGTGCTTGAGGAGTTGCCTCAGGAGCTGCATCGCCGGCTGGCCGGCCAGCGGAGTAAATGGGGAATAGGTGTGACAGCCATGGCTGAGTCTGTGGTACACTCAGCTGTGATGGGTTTACTGCTCATGACCAATGAGGTAGGAAGACCAGTGAGGGACAGAGGCTCGAGCTGGGGCGTGAGCAGGGGGTTGGGGAGACATCCATCAACATGTTATTGAAAGTGCCAGTCGAATATGACTGTACTCTGACCTTCCAGGCTCGTCACACACTGCTCCTGGGCTCTGGTCATGTTGGCCTCCGAAATCTGGGAAATACAGTAAGAGCCATCTTCCTGTCCTTTCTCTGTAGAAGGAATGTGAAATGGTGTTGGGGGGTGGAGACAACCTGCGGATTTGGGGAAGGCATGTAGAAGGAGAGCCCTGAGGCCCCCTCGAGGCTTGTTGGGCACCAGCCTTGAAAGGTAATGGCAGCGTCCCTACTGCTTCCCCAGTGTTTCCTCAACGCCGTGCTACAGTGTTTGAGCAGCACTAGGCCTCTCCGAGACTTTTGTCTTCGAAGGGACTTCCGGCAAGAGGTGCCTGGAGGAGGCCGAGCCCAGGAGCTCACGGAAGGTGGGCACCAATTCCTGTCCCTTCTTCTGTTCTCTTCCCCCACCCCCTTCCTTCAATTCTGTCCCCCAGTACCTATGATCCCCACCCCTCCAATCTGACAGTTAACAGCTGTTTCTCCAGTTCCTCCATTCCTAGAGGCTTTCTATCCCCGGAATCTCCTCTTGCCTGCTCTTCTGGACATTAATCCTTGTGTCACTGTCACACCAACAGCCTTTGCGGATGTGATTGGTGCCCTCTGGCACCCTGACTCCTGTGAAGCTGTGAATCCTACTCGGTTCCGGGCTGTCTTCCAGAAATACGTCCCCTCCTTCTCTGGATACAGGTGGGGAAACTGAGAGGATAGAATTTCTTTCTGCCCAAATCGGGGGCTGGGGCCAAGCAGTGGCTACAGCACCATGATTCTGAGCCTTGACATTTTCTACACTGAGGAAGTAGGGACCCATATTTGGGCAGGGAATACTGTCTGTGGACTAAGAGGGGATCAGTTACCCATATTCTGTCTGGCTGTAGCCAGCAGGATGCCCAAGAGTTTCTGAAGCTACTCATGGAAAGGTTACACCTTGAAATCAACCGACGAGGCCGCCGGGCACCACCAATCCTGGCCAGTGGCCCGGTTCCCTCTCCACCTCGCCGAGGAGGGGCTCTGCATGAAGAACCTGAATTGAGGTAAGGGTTGCTCCCCCTTGCTCCTCTCTCTCCCCTGTGGTTCTACCAGTAGCATTCAGTCTTCAAAGAACTGAGCTAACTGAAACTGAAAATGTAGGGCCTGGGGGAGACCCTTTAACAAAGGAGGGGGAATAGTTTGAAAGTATAAGAAATGATGAAAGGAAGGGGGTGAGGCTGAAGGATGAAGATAGAGGGATAAAACAGTGTTAGGAATGCCACTAAACTGGGAAAGGAGGGACCTTTTACAATGAAACACACCAGTGGTGCTTGTAGAGGACGGATGGCACTCTCCCCTCGTGCATATTCTTTTTCCTCTCATCTTGGATTTCCCCAGAAGGTTCTTGGAAAAATATTACTCCTTTGACTAGAAATCTAGGGAAGGAGCTGGTATGTGGGTCGGGATCAGGGCCCTGTGGATAATCTCAATGGTTGGGGTGGGGCTACCCAGTATCACAGCTGTCTCACGGTACCCTCTCCCTTCCCTTGATCTGTGGTAGTGATGACGATCGAGCCAACTTAATGTGGAAGCGTTACCTGGAGCGAGAAGACAGCAAGATTGTGGGTATGGAACGGGGCAGAGCAGTGGGGATTCGGGCTTGGGAGAAGGAGGAAGGGGAACAAAGCTGGATGATGAGGATATGGGATGGTGTGGAGAGTTGGGTGGCAGCAAAGGAGTGGGAAGAGACAGGATTCTGAGAGAGCACCTCAGGCATCCAACGGTGACTTTTCCTCCTGCCTTTTTGTTTCTGTCTAGACCTATTTGTGGGCCAGTTGAAAAGCTGCCTCAAGTGCCAGGCCTGTGGGTATCGCTCCACGACCTTCGAGGTTTTTTGTGACCTGTCCCTGCCCATCCCCAAGGTGGGATTCCAGAGGATTCCAGGGGTGGATGGAACATGGGTTTTGTGACCCACCCCTACGTGTATGGGGGAACTATGTGGGTCTCTGAAGCAGAATTGAAGCCTGGATTATGAAAAGATAAAAGATTTTAAAGGGGGGGATTCAGAAGATGCTGACCCTTACTTCCCCCTCCCCCCAGAAAGGATTTGCTGGGGGCAAAGTGTCTCTGCGGGATTGTTTCAGCCTTTTCACCAAGGAAGAAGAGCTGGAGTCAGAAAATGCCCCAGTATGTAGGGGTTTATAATGGTGGGAGACTTGGGGGTCTGTCTGAATAAAAGGAGATGCATGCTTCCTTAGCATGGGAATAGCAGTTACATGTCTGGGTGTGTGTTAGCATCTCAGGTATGTCGTAGTATGCCTGGGCTAAAGGGGGCAGGGCAAAGCAATGAGAAGCATACTAAATTTATATGGGTATTGGGGTGTCAGAAAAACCAGCCGAGGTGAGAGCACATTGACCTAAGATTGTTTGCTGTTTATTTAGGTGTGTGACCGATGCCGGCAGAAAACACGAAGTACCAAAAAGCTGACAGTACAAAGATTCCCCCGAATCCTCGTGCTCCATATCCTAATCTTCCAGTTCTTATTTCTCTTAGGATATCTCCCATACATTCTGTTTCCTCACCTTCACTGAGTTTTCCTTGGGAAAAACCTGCTACCCCAACTCTCTTTGCCATCTTCCAGGACACGTTGGGGGAATGGAGGGTACTGAACTTCTTACCTCAGCTCCCTTCCAGACCTTCAGCCTCCCAAATGCTCCTTAACCAGGGCTCAGATCTGAATCGATTTTCCACCTCCCGAGGCTCCATCAAGAAAAGTTCAGTAGGTGTTGACTTCCCATTGCAGCGACTGAGCCTAGGGGACTTTGCCAGTGACAAAGCCGGTGAGTCCGCTGGGGGAAATGTCCTAAGGAACCTCCAGGAGAGGGACACAACTCTTGATTGTAGCAACTGATCTTGTCTAACCCACAGGAAGCCCTGTCTACCAGCTGTATGCCCTCTGCAACCACTCGGGTAGTGTCCACTATGGACACTACACAGCCCTGTGCCGGTGCCAGACTGGTTGGCATGTCTACAACGACTCCCGGTGAGAACAGCCTCTTATTCAACCCCTGCCCCATCCCACTGCAGCTCCTATGAGGCCCCAAAAGATGAGATCCTGACAAAGGACAGGTGGAGTCTCTCTCCCGAGCTCAACCTGGGTTCTCTGAGGTTGATTCTTGTAGGAAGGAGGGAAATACACAGAAATGACTACAGCCATCCCCCATTTCCCTTCTTTGTAGTGTCTCCCCTGTCAGTGAAAATCAGGTGGCATCCAGTGAGGGCTACGTGCTGTTCTACCAACTGATGCAGGAGCCACCTCGGTGCCTGTGACACCACCTTGAAGCCCTGGCACCTGTGAAAACCTTTTCAACACCCTCAAGCCCCCAGGCTCCCCATTTACCTCAGAGACGTCTATTTTTGTGTCTTTTTAATCGGGGAGGGGGGGTTGGTTGTAGCTCCCATTATTTTTTTTATTAAGAAGCACCCTTCCACCTTGTTTCCTGTCCCTTGTACAGAGCTCACCAGGCCCTTGACCATGTACAGCCCCCAGAACCTCTGCAATCTCACTTTTTTTGTGAATAAATTTATTAAGAAAACGGTGTTCACGTTTGTATTTGCGGGTAAGAGGGAATGGATATCCTTCCAGACTTTGGTTCAATTGGATCTTTCTTGGACCCAGTTCCGTCTCTGAACAGGCGGGGGCGCTCTCAGAGCAGAAGGAAAAGAACAGGGATTGAGTAGGCCTCACTCACACTTGTGCCTTAACAGTTTAGTGGTATACTAAGAAGACAGGCCTTGAGACTTGTGAAGCCTCGGAGAAGCCTAAAGCTAGAGTGCAGGCATTGGCACGCCGGGTTTGGCGGAGAGGGGAACTGCCCCTCGAGAGCAAGGCACCCAAGAACCCCTGTTGACAAACACTGGTTTCGTTGCCGGGTGGCCCTAGCTCCCGTAGGGCCTGGCTGTTGCTAACATCAAAGAGCTGTTTATGGCGCTACTTCCCCACGGACGGGCCTCCAAGTGTCTCTCTCCAGCCAAGGCTCATGGGGCCCTCCAGGGTTCTCACCACGGGCCTAGGAAGCTTGAGCTGGGGAATGCTAACTCCGGGATTCGGCTTTTCTCTGTCTTGGCCCCTGGGGAAGGCAGTACCGGTTATCACAACTAAGTCAGCCTAGGCAATGAACCGGTTAACCTGTTCCACCGAGCTGACTCGGTAAGTGGCTGCGGCTTGGCTGGCAACGTCACTGCTAATTCGGTGTTTTTCATTGGTGGATGTATCCAGAACTCACCAATCCAGAACCTGCTTCCCAAGACCCACCAATCCTGAAGCAGTTAAGCGAAGCGCAGCTGCGGGCCGCCAGAATGGAGTAGACGGAGAGTGAGTCGCAGGGACCTTAAGAGTTAGGGGCGGGATTAGCCGACTTGAACCTGCTCACCGGCTGAGCCTGGGGAAACCGTGTGCTGCAGGGTTCTGGCCCCCGGAGGGTTTGAGCTGGGGAGATAGTGTGGGCGTGGATCTTATCTGCACACCACCAGGAGAGACTGCCTTAGGGCCTCTATATCATTCATTTTCTCTGGTTCCCCCTATCTCGTGGCTAAGTCCTCGCCTCTGAAAGATCTCACTCTTCCACCAGCACGTACATGCGCGCCCTGCCTTAGTGCTCACAAATCAGTAAGTGCCCAGAAGTGCGGTACGGGACCAGTGGGGTGTCTGCAGTTGTAAAACAGGGTGCCTCCGGTTCTGCCGGGGTGTCTCGACCTTTCCCCCCAGGCCTTACAATGGGCCGGACTGTGATCGTGCTTGGCGGAGGTATCAGTGGATTGGCTGCAAGTTATCATCTGATCCGAGGCCCCTCTCCCCCTAAGGTGAGTCCCCACTAGAACCAGAGAAAGACTCATTTCATACTCTTACTAACATTTTCAGCAGAAACTGGATAGATTCTGTCCCATGGAATGTGCAGTCCCCCCAACCCCGTCCCCAGTCCCTTTTCCCTGCACCCACAGTGTCTCACTTTGGGAGCCAGGTGATCTTAGTGGAGGGCAGCAAGCGTTTGGGAGGCTGGATCCGCTCAGTCCGAGGATCAGACGGTGCCATCTTTGAACTTGGACCTCGAGGAATTAGGCCGGCTGGAGTGCTGGGAGCTCGGACCCTGCTCTTGGTGAGCCTCGTGTGGAATGTGTAGGACAGGTAGTATGGGAGTTTTCCAAACGGATAGAGTTGCAGAGGGGAAATACATTTGTTGGGTCAGTTTTTCCTTAGTGTGTCCTCTTCCCGAGGGCTTGTGGAGAACAGGTTTCTGAGCTTGGCCTGGAGTCAGAAGTCTTGCCTGTCCCGGGGAATCATCCAGCTGCCCAGAACAGATTCCTGTATGTGGGCGGTGCCCTGCACCCCCTACCCTCTGGCCTCAGGTAACACCTCACCTCCTAACTGTACACCTCTTCTATTCTCTCCCTGTCAGCCCTTCCAGCCACAGAGGTTAAATGAATGAAAATAACCCCCAGGAGCTGGGAAGGTGACTCAGGGAGTTTTCACCATGCCTTCCTCCATGCAGGGGGCTACTCCGCCCTTCACCCCCCTTCTCGAAACCTCTGTTTTGGGCTGGGCTGAGGGATTTGATGACGCCCAGGGGCAAAGAGCCTGATGAGACTGTGCACAGTTTTGCCCAGCGCCGCCTTGGACCTGAGGTGACACTACTCAGAGGTGGTCTCAAACCTCTCCCCTCCTAAACCAGCTCCTAAACTCTTTCTATTGCTGGAATCTCCAAAACTCGGTGTTGGGAATAAATGCCTTCCTTTCCTTCCCATCCTTTGTTACAGTGGGAACACCCCCAGCACAAACTCTCTCCTTCCTCATCCCCTCCCAAACAGGGCCAATGGAAATCAGCCAGGGTGGCTTATTCCTTGGCCCCTCAGACCTAGTCTTACCCTTAAGGTGGCATCTTTAGCCATAGACAGTCTTTGCCGAGGAGTGTTTGCAGGCAACAGCCGTGAGCTCAGTGTCCGGTCCTGCTTTCCCAGTCTCTTCCAAGCTGAGCAAACCCATCGGTCCATATTACTGGGACTGCTCCTGGGGGCAGGTGAGGGGAGGCATTGGTTCAAAGGGTGAAATGTAAAGCCTGACAAAATGAGGTACTTTGTACAAGGGGCACTATTTTGATAATATATATTTTTTGCCTCCTCTTAGGACAGAGTCCACAGCTGGATTCCTCATTAGTTCATCAGGCCCGGGCTGAGCGATGGAGCCAGTGGTCACTCCGTGGAGGGCTGGAGATGTTGCCCCAGGCCCTTCACAACCACTTAACTAGTAAAGGAGTCACTGTCTTCAGAGGTCAGCCAGTCTGTGGGCTCAGCCTCCAGCCAGAAGGACGCTGGAAGGTAGGAGAACCCTCTGGAGTATAGTGAACCTGTATCAGTGTTAGTGGTTCCGTTGTTGCTGTTGAATATATTTAGCAAAGTTTCATATGAAAATGTGCATGACCTGATTTTATACCATAGTAAAATGGGTCCTCTGGGGAGGGATGTGGACTTCTTGCTGAACATCCATTTCTTTAAACTTGGTCCAAGACTAAACCATGGCACTCTTTCCTCATATGACTACCATTCTAAGACTCTGTTGCCACCTGTCACTCACAACATTCATAAAGGCATCAAAGAGCTACAGTATTCCTTGGACATGTCTGCCACCTTGAAATGTCAATAACTTCTTGTCCATAAATTTCTTCTACTGTGGCGTGAGGGGGGAGCTGAAGAGATAGCTCAGCAGCTAAGAGCACATACAGCGTTTTGCAGAAGACCTGGGTTCAGTTCCCAGAACCCACATTAGGTGGCTCACAACTTCCTGTAACTCCAGCTCAGGAGATGAGCTCTCCTCTACTGGACTTCAAAGGCCCCTGCACTCATGCGCACGCGTGCGCGTACACACACACCCACACACCCACACCCACCCCTGTGTCTTTGAGTGGTCAGGGCTGGTAGCACTGGACTTACTGTTTTCTTGCCTTGGAGAAGCTATTTAGATATTGGTTACCTCAGGTCCCTAGGCGTTATTCGTGAACCTTCCTCAAAAAGCCCTTAGGTATGCGAATAGAAGCAGTGTTTGTGAGTATCTGGGGACAGGAAAAGGACACCCACCTTCACTGAACATTTCAGAGTGGCCACACTGGCCTCTTCCTGGTCCACTTTCTGGGTTTACAGAGAATTTTTGTTCAGATGATATTGTCATTCATGTCCTTCACCCTGGATCAGCATCAGGTCTTTCCCTGTCTCTTGGGACCTGGGAAACTAAGAGTGAGGCAGGAAATCTCACTTACCTATAAAGTCTTCATAGCACTGTCTCTCTCCAATGTTCTTATCACTCAGGTGTCTCTAGGGGACAGCAGTCTGGAGGCTGACCACATTATTAGTGCCATTCCAGCAGCAGGTAATGGGACAGTCCCTCCCTTTCCCTAAACATCAGGAGGCAATTGTGTGTGCCCTCCTGTACCAGCAGTGCCACGTCAGGTTCCTGAACTGGTCATGCCTGAGGGATTCCTGGAAGACAAAGCTAGCCTAGTATGAATGCCTCTGTTTGATCCCCAGTGCTCAGCAAGCTGCTCCCTGCTGAGGCTGCACCTCTAGCGCATGTCCTGGGTACCATCACTGCTGTGTCTGTTGCTGTGGTCAATCTGCAGTACCAAGGAGCTTGTTTACCTGTCCAGGTAGGAGGAAGAGGTGGAAGTAGGGGAGACACAGGCTGTGAGAGCCCTTCCCTTGTGATCCAGATATCTTCCTCTCTAGGGATTTGGACATTTGGTGCCATCATCAGAAGACCCAACTGTCCTGGGAGTCGTGTATGACTCAATTGCCTTTCCTGAGCAGGATGGGAACCCCCCAGGCCTCAGAGTAACTGTGAGAGGAAGAAATTTTGCTTATTGTGGTTTCTAAAGGACTTATCTGGGCCTTTGCATAGGTACGGGTAGGATGGTCAATGCTCTATTTCCTATAGGTGATGTTGGGAGGCTACTGGTTACAGAAGCTAGAAGCTAATGGCTGTGAATTGTCTCCAGAGCTATTCAAACAGCAAGCACAGGAAGCAGTTGCTACACACTTAGGACTGAAGAAACAACCAAGTCACTGCTTGGTCCATCTACACAAGGTGAGTTGAAATAAATTCTTTTTAGTTCCCTATTGAAAATAAGGACTACTGTGTTTTTCGGTATGTCAGCCAAGGTCTTGGAAATCGGTAATAAACTTTCCCTTGCATCTTATCTCTCCTTAGAACTGTATCCCTCAGTATACACTAGGACACTGGCAAAAACTAGGTAAGTTGGGGAAAGTGGCTGGGCTGAGAAAGTCAGACCCCAGCTATAACATTCCTTTCATCCTTTCTTACCTTTCAGAGTCAGCTATGCAATTCTTGACCACTCAAAGGTTGCCCCTGACCTTGGCTGGAGCTTCCTATGAGGGGGTCGCTGTCAATGACTGTATAGAGAGTGGGCGTCAGGCAGCAGTTGCTGTCCTGGGCACAGAATCTAGCAGCTGATTCTCCCTCTCCTACTCATGAAAATAAAAGTTGCTTGAACTTAATTTGGTCTTGCCATTTTGTCAGCCTACAGGCTTGTCGGGGCCAGGGGTGGTGGGAGAAGATAAAGTAGCCTGGGATGTAGAAAGCACAAGCAAGATGAGACAAAGTCCTTTATTAGAAAAGATATCAAAATCCCAGCCCCCTGGACCAAGACCAAAGGAGCTACTCCAGCACTGGCAGGAAATGCCCTGGTAGAGGCTTCCTCCACCAGACAGCTTCTTGGGAACCATAAATAGAATAAATATTCACAGAGGTCCCAGGAGAAGCCAGGTCACTCTTGGAAAAGAGTGATGTTCACAGACGAGGAAGGGGCTTAGGGTCCAGCCCTGCTCCTACCCTGGGGGCAGGGGATTACCAGGATTTGTCGCATAAAATGACATCAAGGATTCACAGTCATAAGCCCTGAGAGGTGACCCCCTAGAAAGAGGAACCTCCAGGTCTGGAGGAGCCCAGCTCCTGTCTAGCAGTGAGGAGAGGTCCCTGCCCCCAGCACAGCACTAGAATTGAGATCCCTCACACCCCTCTGAAAGCAGTGAGGAGCAGGTGTGGGGGATACGACCCCTCTGATTTAGTTTCATGACTAAAGTGGGCAAAGAAGAATCAGTGTGAACCATGGGGAGCTGTGTGGTTGGCAGTAGGCAGAGGACCAGGCCTAGCGGGGGGCCGGCGTTGTAACATCTCTTGTCGGAAGGCCTGGGAGGAACCTGGTGGGTATCGGGGACCAGAGGGAGCCCGAGGACCCCGAGGATCAGTCCCAATGTCTGCAGTGATGTTGGTATACAGAGGACCCAGCTCTTTAGCCAGCAACTGGTATGTCAGTGAGTTCATTCCATCTTGTGTCCAAGAATTCTGGGTACGGACCAGGAGGTCAAATCTGAGGGTTAAAGGGTTACTTAAGACTAAGATCTAAAAAGAATAGCCAGGGATTTAGGGACATTTAAGGGTTTCCTGAAGAGAGGAAGAGTGGGAGTCCAATGACAATTCCGTTCCTACCTGTGGGGATTTTCCTCATTGCCTTTGTCCCCTCTGTGCTTCACCATCTTATAGTGTCCCACAGAGGTGGGTGGTCGAGAGATCTTCATCCCAGCCAGGCGGACCCTATGAGAAAAGGGAGGGACTCTTGGAGGAGCTAGAATGGAAGAAAAAAAGCTGCTGGCAGATGAATGAGAAAAGTAAAGACCATCAAGGGAGTGATAACATACACCTGTACACGAAGAATACTTATCTGTCTGGGAAGGAAAAATAAATAAAACTGCCACATATGAAAAGGCAGGAGAAAATCAAACAGAAGATAAAGATGGCTATACCTAAGTAAGCAGCATCTGACGCCAGGTGCCCTGGGGCCTTACAAGAACTGGCAGAGGGAGATTTGTAATTCTCATACCTTCTTTCTAAATGGCTCCTAGGAGTTGCCCTTGGAGTCGTGGGAGGACACAGAAAGAGGCCATTTTGTCTAAAGCATAGAAACGGCAGACCCAAACTCAGCCACCTCAGCCTTTTCCCCTTCCATGCTGGGCACTGGAAGTGGAGTTTACCTATGCTAAACAAGGAACTACTGAGATGCACCCCTAGCCCAGCAAGTCTTATTTAGAAATAGTGTCTAAACTACCCAACTCTTTCCCAGCTGCTGCCATGTGTGAAAGAGAACAGCAGAAGCAGATAGATTAATCAGGACCTTAAACAAGCCCAAATTCTGAAACACAGAGGCAAGAGGTGGAGGCAGTTTCACAAAGAACTCAAAAAATACATCTAGGATTTTCAGGGTATGAAACACACGCAGAGATGAGAATTCTCATAAAGATGTCATTGCAAGAGACAGAAGGGGAGGGAGGCAATGGGTCCAGGATGCCAAGCTCAAATACACTTTACCGGAAACTGGTTCATTGGAGGCTAAAGCTGGATCTTACCCCTTTTCCCAAGAATATAACCAACAGATCTATCTAGAAAAGTGAAATTTGACAGAATGGGCAGCAGGGGTTAAAGCTTGTCCTGAGTAGACTAAGGTCAAGGGAAAGGAATGGGCTCAGTGCAGAACTAGGAAGCTAAAGATCTGGAAGATTGTGGCCAGGGTTTGCGGAAGAGGCGTTGCAAGAAGTCTGACCTGGTAGCGATGTCATCATCCTCACCGCCCCAGCCCCAGTATTCATTGGGGAAGCCATTCATCTTCAGGTATTGGTCAGGAGTGAGCGCTGAAACCCCACCAAAGTACTGGGGGTATGGGAGGCTAAGGAGAAAAAGATCCTGTATTTCACAAATCTGGAACATCAACCCTATCCACAATCCCCTTAGCTCTCCTCCTCCTACAAGGTTGGTTCCCCTGCTTTCTAGTGCCTTTCCAGGCCCTCTACCTGTATCCAAACTTGTTCATAGCAACAGCAACATGGCGGGGTCCCCGGGGGTCACACACATACAGGTTATGATCATTTTCTGGAAGGAGGTCCACATCATGTAAGAACAAGCAGTCCCATTCTTCATCTCGCAGGGCTTCCCGCACCCCAACATTCAGGAGCTTTGCCCTGTTAAACATTCCATTTCCAGCCTAGAAGATAATGAGAGGGACCAGGCTACACATGGAGAAGGTAGGCGGCATGCGTGCTAAAGTGAAAAGAGGGGCATCTAAGCGGAACATGGGGGCCAACAGAAGGAGGAACACAATGAACAGCTGAGCACAGAGGCACCTGGCTGTAACCCCAGCACTCAGGAGACTGAAACAGGAAGATCTTGAGTAGACTCTAAACAAAATAAGGGCTGGAGATGTGGCTCAGTTGGTAGAGTGTTATCTAGCATTCACTAAGCCCTTGGTACAGTCTTCGGCACTTTGCCGTTCCAAAACCAAGTACGGCAGCATGTGCCTGCAACTCCACCAGTGGGAGGGGAGATGGGGGGGCAGAAGTTGAAGGGCATCCTCAGCTACACAGTCAATTCTGAGGCCAGCCTGGGCTACATGGGACCCTATCTCAAAAAGCAAAACATTCATTTGTGCAGGCAACACACACCCACAAAATAAATAAAACTAATGCAATTTTTTACAAAATTACAGAACTAGTATTTTAGCTCATCCTTGACCAATTCCAAATTTGCATAAGCCACTCAACAAAGGAAAAAATCATTAAAAAATATAGGAGAGTAGGAATACCCTAACAGGATAGAGAGACAGACCTAACAGAATAAGCATGGGACTAACAAGGCTGGAAGGGCAAGGCTTCTCCATTATCTATTGTCTAATCCTCTTAAAATAGATGAGAGAAGATGCATTTATTTGAGGCTTCCTTAAAAAAGTAAGCAGCTGGACACTGGTGGTACACAGCTTAATCCCAGCACTTGGGAGGCAGAGGCAGGTGGATTTCTGTATGGGGCCAGCCTGGTCTACAGAGTTGGAGATACCTGGTGGATGACATAGATGCCATATGCAAGCTGCTGGCGCTGCAGGAAGGGATGCAGGTGATAGAGCAGCAGGCGCAGGTGATGCTCGCGGGCACGATGGGGCACAATTATGGCAGTTCGGGAGCGGGCCTCACATCCTGCAGGACGGTACCGGCCCCCTGGTTCCACCCGGGGATTCCGCTCCACAATCTCTGCTAGTGATGGCACTGGGCTAAATGATACCGACACAGGACCCACTGTTGGTAGTGAAAGGCAAGTTCAGAAACTGGAGGCTCAAGAAGAAAATGGGTATCAGAATCTAAGAATACCTCTGGCTAAACAGCCTGATTCTGGGCTGTTTCCCCAAGGGCTCACTCAAAAATCTAAAAAGCCTTGCATTTCCCTTCATTAAGACAGCTCCACAAGGCTGCTGCTGGTGGTGGAGGTGACGCATGCCTTTAATTCTAGTGCTCAGGAGGCAGGTGGATCTCTGACTTCCAGGCCAGCCTGGTCTACAGAGTGAGTTCCAGGGCAGGCTGCAAAGCTACAGAGAAGCCCTGTCTCAAAAAAAAAAAAAAAAAAAAAAAAGACAGAAAGACAGAAAGACAGCTCCAGCTCCACAAAGCCTAAATCTGCAGGCAGGCTCTTGCCTTAGACTACTTACTTTCTTATTTTAGGGTTCTACATTACTTTCTCTTGCCCCACACTGAAGCTACAGTACAAGAGTAAAAGGACTTCAACCTAATAAAGCCAAAACTCATTTACAAGAGAAATAATTCCTACCCTGGGGCATGAGGAGCCCATAAAATGGGCAGGCAGTGGGAAGCTCGTGACCCAAGAGAGTACTCTAGCTTCTGAATTCATAGACCACTCTATCTCAACATCAGCTCACCTTAGAGTACATTAACCTAAGTCTCAAGTCATGCCTGCTCAGGGCCCCCTGCCCCCCACCTCCTTGTGCTCTTCACCTGCTTCCCTTTGTACTCACCTAGGAAAGGAGATCGCTCTGGACAAAAGGGTAGAGCTTCAGCTGGAGAAGCCCCGGCAGCAACCGGAGCCCCAGGCAGGTGACTGAGGTTACTATAGACATCACGAGGATGAGAGTAATCAAATGTTGGGCCCTGATCTCGACCAAACAGGGCACTAAGGCTTCGGAAGCCCCCTAGTGAAAGGTACATCATAACTGCCAGTTGGGAGCCCACAAGCAGGGCCAATGTGCAGGGCCTCTCCAGCAGCCTCCGCAACATCCTGACTTGAGGGCTAGGAAAAGAGTGAAGGGATTTCTGGAAAGAAACAGGAGGGGAGAGAGTAAGTCAGCAGTGACAACAGCAGGCAGAGATGAAAGTGGTGCCGGGGAGAGAAAGACAAACAGACAGACAAAGAACAAAGTCACAAGAAGGAACATTGATATAATCAAACAAGGAAAAAAAACCCAAAACAACCCAGAAGGTAACCAGGTAACAACCACCAGCAGTCCTTATAAAAAATCAATAAAGCTCAAACTTCATTTTCATCCACTTCACTCTGTCTCCACCCTCAAGAAAGCTTACATCATTCAAGTCCCAAGTCCATTCCAGAAGTCTTTATCTCCAACCTTACAAAAGAGATAGACACACCTGTGTTCAAGCTGTCTTCTTCCGGATCATGGGGGCTCCAGGAGGTCCCCGGGGAGCAGAGATGGGAGGCATTATCTAAAATTGGAACTGTCACAGAAGACAGAAAAAGGCATTCCAACAGCCAATCTGGGACCAGCGGGAACAGAAGAGATCAAGGAGAACCAGTCGCCTGTACAGCAGAGACCGGGATAAGGAAGAAACAACTTTCTTATCGTGAGAAGTGCAGGAAAGCGATTGGAAAAAGAGAAGACGCCAGGACAAGTCTCTTTGGGGTTACTTCCAGTAGACTACTGAGTGGCAGGCAGGTCGGTACCTAACCCTCTACTTCAACAAGACGAGTTTGTTTGGGGAGCGGGGGCAGGAAAACGAATGTAGGCACCAAAAAAAAAAAAAAAAAAAAAAAAAAATATTAAAGGCAAGACAGCTGTGACAAGACCTTGGAGTGGCCTAGAAAACAGTAGAACAGGAAACGGGTTCTTTCTGTTCTTCACGTACCAGGGAGCGCCTCCGCAGGTGCACGGTGCTTGACCACCTGGGCGCTGCAAGCAAGAGACCCTGGAGCGTGGCCCGGAGAAGAGTGGGGGTGGTGTCCTCTGCCCTTTTCACCTTTCTGCAACCTAGTGGGGGTGGGGAGCAGAGTGCTAGGCCAAGTGATGAAGTGGAGGGGGAGGTCTAGAGCAGGGTCGGCCAGGACACCTGGGCCGGCTCACCTGGAAGGGCGTGGCCAGCGCCTCGCACGCGCTCGCGCGCGCGCACGCGGGGCATGGGAATAGAATTCCTTTCTTTTTCGGGCACGCCCATCCCACCTTAGCCTCTTGTTTGCCCCCGGCGTGCAACGTGAAGGCAATCGGCCCGCAGCCGCGTTCCCACCCGAGACTCTGTCTGTGCTCAGTCTGGTTTTCCAGCCTTTCCTCGGAACTTTCCCTCCTCCCCCGATCTCCCGAACCTCGCTCCGAGGACTCTCTCCAAGGTCCCCAGCCCACCGTACCTGGTCACCGCCACTGGGACAGCCGGGCAGGTATCGCCGCCGCCATCTTGGAAGCGGGCGCTGGGGGCGGGGCCCGCGTCACGGGGCGGGGCCTCCGGCGGGCAGGCGCAGGGGCCCAGCACCGCCCAGCCTGCTATGCCTGGGGCTGGAGCCCCGCACCGCCGAGAAGCTCGCTGGTGTTCGCGGAGGAGTCCTAGACCCCGGCTTCCTCTCCACCTCACAGTCTCCTAGCCGGGTCCCCTTGCTCACCTCAGGGCACCGCGGCTCAAAGCCCTTGTTTCTCAGTAGGGCTGAGAACCGGTTTCTGATGCATCATCGGAGGACCTCACCCCAGGGTAGGCTGAGCCCTTTCCCAAGTGTGTCATGGCGCCCCCTGTAGCCTAGTGCTACTTAGTATCGAAATTTTTCCTAAGGTTACTGTAACACGCACGCCATTTGTATCCGCATGGTTAACATTTGTATCCGCGTGGTTAGCATCCGCATGTGCACCGAGAGACAGTGTCGGCTCTGATGTGAATATGCTTTCCTAGGTATGAGACTAAAATGGACGCTGCAACGATGTGCAAGACATTTAATCCCGGGGCTTCTACCAGCCCATCGCAAATGTTCATGCCGAGGAAAAATAAAAGACCAGTTACTTACAGTTTTTGCCTGGGGATGGGGGTGGGTGTGGGGGTCTACAGACAATATAGTGCAATGATAATGATGACCTGAAAAGGGACACCTCAGTCACAAGTGGTGATCCTGGGTAAGCCTCTCAAAAGTAGTCGTGTCTCTTGGGAAGCCTGAAGGACTTATGCACAGCATATCCTGCTTTAAACATTGTTTTCATGAAAACTGCCTTACAATACAACTCAGTATAGGTGAGTGACCTGTATGCAAATTATGTCTTGTCTAGTAAACGCCATTTGGAGAAAAACAAAACAAATACGAGAGTATTTGTCTCCATTTTCTCATTCAGTTTTATATTCATTTGAAGCAAAATTCTAATTAAATTTCTTTGGGGGGGGTTTCAAGACAGGGTTTCTCTGTGTAGTTTTGGAGCCTATCTGGCACTCGCTCTGGAGATCAGACTGGCCTCGAACTCACAGAGATCCTCCTGCCTCTGCCTCCCGAGTGCTGGGATTAAAGGCGCGCACCACCAACGCCCGGCTAAAATTCTAATTAATCTTATTAACAAAAACCCCGGGGTCAAATATCAGGGTAATAGCCTGAAAGATAAAAGAAACAGAACAGTGACCTCTTACCTCTCTGGACCTACCCTATGGCCAAAAGGGCCCAGATCCTGCCCTAACCCCACTTTATCACTTCCTGTCTCCATTTTCCTAATTCTGGAACATAATTTCAACCTAGTTTTTTTTTATTTATTTATTTTGTATATGCATTGGTATTTTGCCTGCATATATGTCTGAATGAGGGTCTCAGAACTGAAGTTATAGTGGTGAGCTGCCATGTGGGTATTAGGAATTGAATCCAGGTTCTCTGGAATAGCAGCCAGTGCTCTTAGCTGCTGAGCCATCTCTCCAGCCCCCCCCCCCTTCAGCTTTTATTACACAAGATACAGCAATACATTTTCACACAGTGTACAAACATCCCACAACACTTCTGCAATTTTGCTCTACCTTGGTGTTTCATTCCTTTTGTTGTTGATGTTTTTGTTTTCCTTGTTTGGTTCTGAGACAGGTCGTACATAGTTCACACTAGCTTGGAACTCCTGATCCCTTTGCATTCTGCCTCCAGTGCTGATATCACAGATATTATTGTGTGTCATCACACTCAGCTACTTTGCTTTTCTGTTTCTGCTTTGTTTTGTCTTTTTGAAACAGGTGGTGCCACCTGGTCTGGTACTCACGGCAATCCTTCTGCCTCAGTCTCTCAATTTCTGAGGACTTACAGGCATGAGCTACCACATCTGGCAGGTAGGGTTTTATTCATGCAAGACTGACCTTCAGTTCTTTCTTTTTAAATTTTCTTACCTTTTGTGTGTATGTGTGTGTGTGGTGGTCCATGTGTGTGCATATATGTGGAGGCTATAATAAGTCGACTTATCTTTCAGATATGTTTATTTTTAATTTTTTTAGATTTATTTATTTTGTGTGCATGAATGTCTTATCTTTGTGTATATAAGTGCACCATTACATGCCTGGTACCCACAGCAAACCAGAAGAAGGTATTAGAAACCTTGGAACTGGAGTTGCAGGTGGCTGTGAGCTGCAGTGTTGGGAGGGCACTGGGAACCAAACCTGGTCTTCTTCAAGAGTGGCATGTACTTTTAACCACTGAGCCATCTCTCTTCAGCCCTTCACCTTGTTTTTTGAGACCAGATCTGGAAATTGAGATTTGCTGCTTAGGCTAGGCTGGCTGGCCAACTGCTCTCAGAGATCTACCTGTTCTCCACCCCAGTGCTCGGATTTCAAGTACATTGTGGAACAAACTTTGTCAACTGAACTGCCTCGTTAGACCCTTCTTTTCGATTTTCAGCTTTTGAGGTAGTCTTCCTTCCTTCCTTCCTTCCTTCCTTTCTTTCTTTTTCTCTCTCTCTTCTTTTTTTTTTTGGGGGGGGCGGTGTTTGGAGACAGGGTTTTTCTTTGTAGACCTGTCTGTCCTAGACCTCACTTTGTAGACCAGGCTGTCCTGGAACTCAGAGATCCACCTGCCTCCCGACTGCTAGGATTAAAGGCGTGGACCACCACTGCGACTGCATCTTCTTACATAGCTAAGCTAAGCCGTCCTCAAATTTCTAGCCAGTCTCCTGCCTCAACTTCCTGAGTGCAAGGATTACAGTAATGTACCACCACACCCAGCAGGATATTTAAAAAGACTCATTTATTTTGTCTATGTGAGTGCTCTATCTGCTTGTACACCTTTATGCCAGAAGAGGGCATCAGATCCCACTAGAGATAGTTGTGAGCTACCATGTGGTTGCTCAGGATGAGCAGCCAATGTTGATGACCACTGAGCTATCCCTGCAGTCCCCGGTCCGTCCCATACTGTCCCATCCTGTTCCCCCTCCCCCCACCCCCCCAGCAGGATTTTTACCTTATTGTTGAGACTCATGTTCCTGGTTTCTCCTCTTCCTCCTCCTTTTTTTATCCTTTCCCTCTCCCTGCATCTCTTGTATATATTTGCATGTACATTATAACATGTTATAACATGTTTTTATCTGTGTGTGTGTGTGTGTGTGTGTGTGTGTGTGTGTGTGTGTAAAATGTGTGTCCCTGTTTGTGAGAGCTCCTGGGACCTTTTGTTAGTTAAAGACTATAATGGAGGCTTAGATATACTTCCACCCCTCTGCTCCTTCCCAAGGCTAATTAAGTACTCTGAGCCTGTCCCCATATAAGGTCCTGTCTGGGGATGTTGTTGAATATTATTGCCCCCCCACTCCTCTGACTCCCCTCTTTCCAAGCATATTTAGAGCTGGTGGTTTCCTCCAGCTGTCAGCTGGTTACTCTTGCTGCCAAAGATTTTGGCTTCCCCCCAGCAACCGTCAATGGGGAAGGTAGTCAATTGGCTCAGAAGTATCATCCTCTTAGCCAATAAAATGTTAATGCTTTGAAACCACTTTCTTGCCCCTTCCTCCCTGACAAGCTCTGACCAATAAGGTGCTGCTTTGTCACTGTCAATCTAGTATTTTAGAGAGAGAAAAAAATACTGTATGGAGAGGAAAAAGTGGAGCTAGAGTTCATGTAGAAAAAATAAATACCCATTCCATAGCACTCTCCAGAAATCCTGGCTCTCCCACCACTACCACAAAAATAGTGATTGGACAAAAGCCCAGATTTCCTCTGCTCTAACCACAGAAGTTTGAATTTCAGGGCCAGGCCAGAAGGGCTTGAAGAGATTGGTTCAACTCATGTATTGCTTCAGTCTCCTTCCTAGCTCAGATGAGTCCTTATGTATAGTATTTGCCATCTCATGAAATGAGATAGGCCGAACTCCACTTGAACTTCTTTTAAGTCAATCACTGCCTCTTCTTTTTCAAGTCCCTCACTGGTCCTCTTTTTACCTTTACAAATAGATACTTAAACAATTTCAGTGCCTCTGTTTTCCCCCTCTTTCTACTCCTACTTCCTTCTTAAAGATTTATTTATTTATTATGTATGAAATGTTCTGCCTGCACACCAGAAGAGGGCACCAGATTGCATTATACATAGTTGTGAGCTACTGTGTGTTGGCTGGGAATTGAATTCAGGACCTCTGGAAGAGCAGTCAGTTTGCTTAACCGTTGAGCTGTCTCTCTAGCCCCTCTACTACTTTTTTTTTTTTTTTTTTTAAACCACATCATAGTTCAAACCTACACAGGCAATACTTAGACTGGGGAGTTTAAGCTCATCTTGATCCATATATGAAGAGGTGTATTCCCTCATCTCCATTTCTAGCAAGAGCTTGCTGGACTCAACTTCAGGATAGGCATTATGTGAAGATTAAATTCTGGCCGTGGAGGGGTAGAATATGGAAGATCATTCCTGAAAGGGGTCAGGGATTGACTGACTTTGAGGGCTGGGATACTCATCTTTTGAAGGGCTAGCTCTTTCTGACCCCCTTTCAACATACAAATCCACCTACTCACTCAAATCACAGAAGTAATCTTTTTTTTTTTTAAGGATTTATTTATTATGTACAGGGTGTGCTGCCTGCATGTATGTCTACATGCCAGAAAATGGCACCAGATCTCATTATAGATGGTTTTTAAGCCACCATGTGGTTTCTGGGAATTGAACTCAGAACCTCACGAAGAGCAGTCTGTGCTCTTAACCTCTGAGCCATCTCTCCAGCCCCAGAAGTAATCTTTAAACTCAATACTTTCTAAATTTTTTTCAGATATTTTAATTTGAATTAGAAACAAGATTGTTTTACATGTCAATCCCAGTTCCCTCTCCCTCCTCTCCCCCCCTACCATCCCCCTCCCCAACTAAAACCCTACCTATCACATATCCTTTCTGCTCCCCCTGGATGGTGAGGCCTTCCATAGGGTGTCATCAGAGTCT